AATCCGGACCATTTGGGTCAAGGTGTTGCCCACACGACCAAGAACAACCACTCGGAACGGAACGTCACGACCATTCATGACCCCCCGTTGATCACCTGAACTCTGCAACCAAAAACCTCGAAGCGGAGCTATCAGATATCAACTTGGTCCCTCGAAGGACCAATGACACCGATCAGCAAGTGGACCCCGAAACGCGGAATGCCCCATACCCATACACTCCATGGGACTGCCATATATGCCTACATTGACACTCCAAACCACCCCAACTGACCGGCATATATGGCAGTCCCATGGAGTCTATGGGATATAGACGGCCCCCAAACTTTAACGGATCGCAATACCCCCAAGGAGTTGGAGAAACCATTTCGCCGCGGAACGGACGGATCGCGACGCAGAGCTCGCAGATCGGTGCGGAGAAAACGAGCGTCGGAACGGATGGAGAAAACGAGCTCCCAGCGTTCGTATACATGTTCTGGCTCGGACTCCTGACGCATGGTGCAGATCCTGCAAAAGAAGGCGGTCAACGATGACCGTCGTCAAAAAGGGCCAGTCCTGCCGTTTCTCGCTTAATTTGCGAAGGAGAGAAGATTTCAGTGAAGACGGTTTTCCAGCGTGTCGAAGCATCAGTAGAAGATCCCATTGAATGGTGATGAGGTCCTGCCTTAACCTAGGGAATAGCGCGATAGGTTCAGCAGTGAAAACCATGCTGTGGGACCGCTGATGGGGGCTGGAGCCAATGAAGGCCCAAAAAATCTATCTGAAGTCTATCAGCTATGGCTATGCGGCTATGAGTCGGAGTCCCTTTGCAGCTTTCTGGGAGTCAACATGCCTTGACAAACAGACTAGCCAATTCGCAGGGGGACTTCCCATCAACAAGAAGGCCCTTCAGGAGGTGTTTCGGCCCATCAACCAGAAGGCCCAACGAGACGACATGGACCTTCTTCTGACGTCAGTGGATCGCTTGGACCTTACATCAGTGACCTGCTAGACCTGAGACGTGCTAGACCTTGAGATCTACCATGATCTACCAATCTACTCTAGACTCTAGACCAGACCTGAAATACCAATCTACTCTAGACCAGTGACCATAGATCAATTGAGAAGCCCACGGACTCCATGGGACTGCCATAGGACTGCCGGTTAGGCCAGGGGTGGTGTTTGAGGGGTCAATGGGGCGGCAGTCATATAGGCAGTCCCATGGGAGTGTATGGGATGTGGGGCATGAAGCTCCAGAATGCTCCCAGAACAACGAACCGCCTGCGTAGGTAAGCCGTCGCGTTTTCTGTCGGCCCAGTAGGAAGGCCGCGGCCTTCCTGGACCGTGGTTTTCTCTCCTGTCGTTGTGTGTATCCGAAGCTAGGACATCTCTACAACTTGATCGAATATTCTATGTTTTTCTTAATATATATAGAGATTTCACTGACTCACACACCTCAACACAAAAGTCGATGGCAGAACATTCCTCGGTGGATCAAACATTGTCCTGATTGGGATGGGTGAGTATGGAGTGACTTGGAGAGTCCGGTCCAGATGCCGGAGGGATGAATCTGAGATCTGGGAACCATTGGGAACACAGCATTTGGACAGCGCACAGCACGGGGCAGGCAAATAGTTCAATCCATTGCTGCACCTGAACTTGGGGTCGCAAACCAACATCATGCTGATCAAAAGCTGGTAAGACGGCGGAGGACACGCAAAAAAGAGCTCCAGCTCAGGTTCATTGGTCTCTAGATATAGAGAGAGAGAGAGAGAAAATATATGTATGATATATTACTGTATATGTAAAACACATTCCCATGGCTATCATTCGCATGACTTTATAACTATATGTCTAAAAGAAAAAACTATGCATATGTTGTTTGTATTATCATGCCATAATGCCATATGTTTGGCCTTCTGGGCATACCACGAGGTCCCACCTCTCCCGGCCTCAGCTGATCCGCGCTCGGATCCCAGGAGGATCCCGCCGAGCTGGTGAACCAGTTCCATGCACCGCGGCGTCCGTTCAGCCCGTGGTGGTCGGGCGGTCGGTGGGGTGGTGGGGGTCGAGGGGGATGGACTCCGGGTGGACTGAAGATGTTGGTGTTTCTTTTTGCGTAGATGTATGCACATGTGGACAGACAATTGTGTCCAAGGTGGCGATGAATATACTACAGAAGTGTAATTATTTATATATATATATACTTGTGCCGATGATCAAGATACTGCAGTAGAAATGTATTTACGCCACTTGGGGATGGACGACATGCACCCAGCTGTGAAGCGAAAAAACCTGGCGACTCATCCAAATCACTTGGTTTCGGAGAACGCCTCGATTGGATCGACCATGATGGACCTTCCCACTCACAGAGACATCTCCAAAAGCATCGTTGAAAGGAGCCATTCATTGAATGCTGCCGCAGGCTAGAGCCGCTCCTCCTTGCTCACAGGTGACCAAAACGGGTTCCATCGCCTGAACCCTTCACCTTCAGGCACGAGATATGACCTTCGAGACCAAACAGCACCAGGGCGTATGCTGCTGAAGCGTGCCTCCCGCCGTGCAAAGAAGGGGAGGGGACGCGAGATGGACGAAACAAGGGCGGATCAGCTGGACGAAGCTTCCGCATCACGTGGGGACACCATGAGAACATCGGGGGCCTGTACCTCATCCGTGACACAAAAGAGGTAAAGATGCGATGTTTCTCCATGAGTCATGAAAAGTCTTGCTGAACAACAGAAGTCAGCTTATGTTTTTATCTTTTGACTTAGCCTCGACCACGACCTGTTGGCCCATTTAATGGGGTCATTGAGTCATGGAGCTTGTCAAGCTGTCATCAAGACACTACTTTTGCCGTCCTTGGGGAACCTTTGCGGTATATGGTTTTAGCAGGTTTGCAGTTGAATATGAAGGATTGTGAATCGAATTCAATCGCCAGACGTATGTTCGCAAGATGTACAATCAATCATGCTGCCGCGTATCCTCTGACCCCCAAAGATTCCAGCTCATCCTACTTGTAAAGTCTTGTAACAGAATTTGGGCGATGGTCACTCCGCCCTTTTCACCGGGACACTAAGCAAATCCAGCTCGTGTTCCCAGCGTGCCCAAAGATTGACAACGCAGCAGCGTATAGCACTGTCAATCAGTGTAGACCTTGACTTTTCCTTCAAAGAAGCGGTGTGCTAAGACTTGTTACTAGTAGCGATGCCCTTGTTACTAGTAGCTTCTTGCTACTAGTAGTACTGCCCTTGTTACTTACCTCTGTGTTTCAAAAAGAGTTATTTTTGGATTGGGAAGGGTTTTCTTTCCGAAGCGGTCGAGATCAGCACATGTTGGGATGGAACATCAATGGAACCAACGAAAATTAATCTATAACATGAATTCGCGGAACAAGCCATACACTGTGAATCCATATGCATGAAATACCCTTGTTCCTATAGGGATGGAACATCAATCCCCGTGGAACACCCATTCCCTCTAAAGTTATTACACCCACTCCCTCTAAAGTTGTTCGAATCCAGGACGAGACAGACTTTCACAAGAGTCACCATAGGCACTGTTTCGTGGGATTTTGGTTTGAGGGGTCCAGCCCCGGCGTTCTGTGAGCTTTCTACAGTCTCCATTTTGGATCAGATATTGGGGGCTGAAAATACAGTGTCCAATTCCATCCATGGGTGGTTTAAGGCGTTCTATGGCTCTCTCTCTCTCTCTCTCTCAAACCACCCCCTGCGGTGTTTTGTATAACTTCACATCTCCAGGCTTTGGTGTTTTCTCGAGTTGGAGTCCAAACCCGGACTTGGAATCGGAGGGAGCGTAAGTTGGCCCGCCTGACACGGTCTGGGCGGTGAAAGGATGCCTGGGCACAGGGTCGTCTCGCGATGTCCTCCTCTCCTCCGATGGTTTCTTCATGCCAGGCAGCCAGCCTCCTGAATTCGCTTTCCGAACGGCGGCTCCTGAGTTCCTGCGCTTGCTGCGCTTGGTGTGCGTGGCGCCGGGAGCGGTGCGTTGTGTGAAGGGTGGCTCTCAGGTGATCTGAGATTTTGCAGAGTTCTTGTTCATGCCCATGCTCGTTCTATCTCCACAGCTGAACGGAACGTGCAGTTGCCGGCGGAGAGTCTATCAGTCTATCAAACATACCATTCCATGCTCAAGAAATCAGCAACGATGTCACGAGAGTGTTGAGCAGTTCCGGCAACCCGTGGGCCCAACCCTCCACAGGCAATCGCGCAAGCGAAAAGCACGCCTAGGCCTTAGATGTAGTTGGACCCTTCGTTGGGCCAAAGCTGCCATAGTCCAAAAGCCTCCCAGAGGGCCAATGTGCCTGAAAAAATGGTGCGCACACTCCTAGGCGATCAAGCCCTGTTGCCATCGCCTGTTACCTTCATGTTTGGGGTCTAGCTGAGTCTAGCTGTTTGGTTTTGGAACCACTGGTTACCTCCTTGTTTTTCCTGCCTCCCATTTGTATCCAGCGGTAGGAAGCCCTACTTGGTTGTGAAACGAATCCGCTGGGACGAATCCAACTGCTGCGGGGTTTGGTCCAATCCGTTGTCTAAATGTTCAGAAGAAGGCGGAACAGTAAGCTGACGAGTGAGTGAACTGTAAGACAAGAAGTAAGACAAAGGAAGAGAACTGGTTAATTTGCCTGGTAAGACAAAGGTTCAAAATAAGTGTCACTGGAAGAAGGCAAGCTGTCTTCAGCTAGTTAAGATGTTATGACTTTCTATGAAGAACCCAGTGACATCCGTCGCAGCGGTTCAGACCGGTTCAGAGGACTTGGTCCTGCTGCTTTTGGATCGAAGGCCTGGATTGAAGGCCTCCCAAGATGCAGACCTCATAGCTGCCATTTGTGAGGTTTCCATTGGGATCCCCTCCAGTGCCATTGGGATTGGAACCAGGACTGGCCGAAGACGTTTGCGCACGGACACTGAAGGGGAACTTCCAGCTGAATTGAAAGCTGACAAACTCCAATTCCATGTTAGCCATGCCAAAAAAGTACACAATAGCACTTCCAACACCTTTGATACGGAAAAACGAGGACCTTTGGAGCACTTCCAACACCCCGGAAGGTCTCCAACCTTCCACTCTTCCGCTCGCCGTCCTAATTTCCTGAGTGCAAACACCATGTCTCGACGCTGAGTTGGCACGGCGCGATGCTGTGCCGGCCAGGCCGGTCACGGGCCGTTCGTTTCTTCCGGGACACCGAGCAATCACCCGTTTCGTCCGCCGGCCGGCTGAGTAGCTGCGGACTGAGTAGCATGTAGAATGTAGACTGAAGAGTTTGGCTCTCCTCATATGGAGAGCCAAAACACAATCCATTGGAAATGAGGGGGGCTGTGAATGAAGAGCCTACATGAAAAGAAGGATTGTGGTGAACCGAATCTTCGTTGGAAGAGAGCAGCCTGTAGTGAGTCTGGTGTAGGCCGTTTATGGCAGTCATGAGCCAATGTAGGATTCAAGAGCTCACTGCAAGCTCTTCAGCATCACATGCTTGATCAGTGCTTGGAGGTGCTCAGGATGGAACATGAAACCACGGCCCCTGTAGCCAACCAGGCCAACCATGACCTTACCCCAACGTTTCGAGCATTTCAGGAACCTCTTAGTAGTTTTTTTCGTGTCCCCAGTTCTAGTTCATAAAGGTAACTCCAGAAAGTTCAACCTATGATAGAATAATTCTTAGTCCCATTGACAACATCTCCCTGTACTGTACCTGTTGACGGGATCCAGGTCCCAGAAGGTCCCAAAGATGTTGAAGACCAGACCATCAGAGTTCATTCAGTGGCTGTGTCTTTTTCATCCAATGAAATCTGTCCAGTTCCAATCTGTCCAACTCACTTGCCTTCCAGCTGGTTTAGACCAGGGGGTGGTAAACTCGATGGTCCAGTGCTCCAGGGAGGGGTAGTTCATGCCCTGCTTACAGGGATGTTTGGAAACATTTAGAAGCCAAACGAATGCTTGAAATGGACGACATGATCACTACATATCAACCTATATCAACCCCATCATTGATCAGCTAGCCACACATTTGGCTATCCTGTGATTGTTTCCACCTGATGATTGGACTGAACGGTTTCACTTACAGAGCCAAGTCATCAGGGCCGAAGCGCTTCGCCAGGCCGACATCTTCTGACCTGGAGGCCCTTGTCCTTGGCCTATGCGCGCTGGGAGGCCACTTGGTGCGCATAACATTGACTTCTTTGATGTGGAACATGTGGAACACAGAAGTATCAACGAATATCAGCATATGCCGTAAAAAAACATGAGATAAACTTCCCCCGCATTCAGAGTAGAAGCACCGCGTGTGACAGACGTTGAAACATGTAGAAACCAGTCCTTGGAAAAAAGGAGGTTGACTGGCGCTTCAAGGCTTCCTGTGGCACTCCAACACATCGGATGTGCCCTAGTAGTTAGTATGTCTCGGAGGACGCCTCGCTCAGGGACCGGGACTGTGTCTCTAAGAGGATCACCGGCAAACAGCATCATCCACAGTACTGGGCACCATCCATCACCACTCCTTTTCTGGGGCAATGATCACCTTCGAAGAAGGCTCCCAAGGAGAACAACTCTTCCACATGACTCAAAAACACAAGTCGACCCCTGGAACCCTCCGAATCCCCCAAAGGTTTCAGACAGATTGTCCGTGTTTGTGGCTTTGAAGGGCTTATAGTTTTGAACCAACTAAGCTCCACCGTTGAGCTTTGACCCTGGGCTTCGTCGATCGAGGCGAGACTTTTCTCCGAGCCCGGTGCAGCACCAAGTGCAGGCAGCGCTGAGTTGAGCGAACAGATGCGGCCGGGCGAGAGCGGGGGGCAGTGAACGGTTCGGTTAACGGGTGTTTCGTGTGAAGCTGGTGTTTGTACCTTTGCGTGGGGTTTGGATATGGTTTTGATGTACAATGTATATCAATGTATAAATAGTCTATATATCAATGTATTTCAATCTAAGATTAATCGGCTTTGGTATGCCAAAGCCAGAACAGAAACGCAGCTTGTTAACGGTCGTCAGCGGCATGTTCGGTCCGAAAAGGGATGTACGGTCCAGTTGCCGGTCGAACAGGCGACACCGAGGAGAACACCACGGAGTCCTCCTTGGTCACCAAGGGCGCGCGTGTGTATCGCCGAACTCGGGCGACTCGGAAGCGGAAGAGGACGGGGAGATGGTGGAGAATGCTTGGAAATCCAAGGTGTTTCCACCTCCAAAGCACGGATGGTGTCCACCTGTGGAAGCCGTTGAACATTTAAACTGGTCCATGCAGGTCGTAAGTTTGGTTCTATCTAGAGTTGGAGGCCTCAAAACTGAAGACTGGTGTTCTTTAATAGGAGGCTTTTCAACATGCCAAAGCCAAAACAGCGACATCGGTCTTCAAGAAATGAGCGCACTTGGCCAAAACTTGGTATAGAAAGAATCCCTTCCTCCTGGAGCACACCAGCACACCTCTGCCAACTCATTCATTGGCTTCGGATGCGGAGAGCGTGCGGAGAACGGTGGGTCTTGGCCGTTCCGGAACACACGGGAGACCGACGGATCTCGATGGATCCCAAACGGGAGACCGACGTCACCAAAGTCTTTGGTGACCACAGACACCAGAAAAAGCACAGGGCAGACTGAGTGAGGTTTCTGCGGAAGAATGGCCGCGAGTGATAGTCTATATACACAGTGAATGGCTCGTAGGTACTTGAAGCTTTCAGATTGACACAGCTCGCCAATAACCTTTGGAGTGTTTCATCAAAGGCATCACAGACAAAAGGTCCATTGGCTCAAGCTGAAGCTCGACCACACGAATTTGTTCATTGCCTCGCATCCATATTGTTTATTGCCTCAACGTCCCTTCCCATCCCTTCCATGTGCAGCATCGGTGATAGAGATGCCCCGGCATGAAACCAAGCCTTCAGGGGCCAAATGAATGCAGTCATATATGCGATTGTCACTGTTGCAATATCACCAGGTAGGAAGCCATCTTCGCAACCGAAACATCAACAACAAGGCATCCACAAAGGATGCGCAGATGTTCAGACCAAGAAAGCTGCCCCTCCCTGGATGGTTGAAATCCTCACTGGTCACCATCCTAGAACTCCAACCACATTCTCAGGAGGTAGTTAGACCCCCCCAAACCTACCCCAACCACCGAACCTCAGGAGGTGGTTGAAGCCCAAATGGCATTTTGGCTTCGAAGCCCAGCGCCACCCAGCCTGGGCGGAGTGGACCCAGCTCCCCCCTTTCGACCCCTTGAATTCGAGTCGTTTCCAGGCGATGCGACCCGGAACAACGCGCATGACCTCTTGGGGACCTGAAGTGAACCAAAAACCATTCCAGACACGACCTGTCTGGGACTGCCATAGGACTGCCGAGAAACGGCCAGGGGAGGTTGACTGGGGAACAATGGGGCAGCATATATGGCAGTCCCATGGAGTGTCTGGGATTGTTTTTGGTTCTGCTTCGCTGCAGCGATCTGCAGCGAACTGCCTGGAGGCCATTGATTACAGTAATGTATATCACTGTCTCAGTGAATGGAGATAGCGTGACTGGGCATTGCATGTGCAAGTCATGAAGGCGTGAAGCGACCAAACCACTGAGGTGTCGTTGAAAAGACTAGTTTGATGCTCCACCAAAACCTCCAACTCCAGCCACTGGGTTTTGTGGTTTGCTTAGATCTCCCTAGTCTCCCTTGACTGTGAACCTACGAACCACCTCTGGACACATCCTCGAGCCAAAGGAGCTCCTTAATAAACCCTCCCAAAGGAATCATCATGGAAGTGGATGGCACCACCTGCTTGGTATTCGGAAAAATTTGGTCTTCCTTTCGGGGCCATGCCATCCACGCAACCATGATTCCAGGACCGCCGGGAGTCCGGGAGTGTAACTGTCCGACAAATTACTGAGCCTTCGGTCAACCGCCTGTCAGGCACCAAAGGGATCAAAAGGGGCTCAATGTTAATGAATTATTTGTTTCTCAATACACCTCCATCCACGGGGACTTGCAGACTTCTCCCGTCCCATCTTCTCCGTGACCCGTGCGGAGTCCGGCACGACTGCCTTCCTCCCAGGCGGAGCATTGGCGCCGCTTTGAGTGGGGTATTGGCAGCCGGTGGCTTGGTGGCAACGGGAAAAGACCAAAGACAAGACAAGACGTCTGGAAGACAACCCCATAGTTTCCCTCATCATCAGAACTATGTATCAGAATTCTATAAAATGTCTTGTTTTGGCGGTCACCCAGACCCCAGATAGAATCGAACATCTACACAGTAGGCCGGGGAATGCATCGGTTTTTGCCCCGACCTATGATCCATTGAAGGACAGTCCAGTCTCAGTGACCCATGATCCATCGCTTCAAACACTGAGAATAAAATCCCACAAGAGCCGCTAGTTAGGGTATGTTGGGAAGATGTGCGTACCCATACTCGATCGTGCGAATTCATCCTCCCAAAATGGATGGAAATGGGAAAACGCACTGCATGCAGTCGTTTGAATTTCGGCAGAGAGAACTCTGGGAAGTTTTGCAGCAGGGATTGGCAAGGCGCTCCTAGAAAGCAAGAGTTTGGTCTGAGCAGAGCCTGAGCTCTTCAGGCAGTTCTCCGATAGTTTGGAGAGGACCTGACTGCATGTTCAGCCCTAATTGTATGAGACTCTCAGTCTAAGATCTTCAGATAAATAGACACCCGGCCCATTCAGCTCCTTGAACCCTGCCGTTTCCCGAGGTTTCGGATGCTGGGCAAGAATCGCTTCATGCCGGTGCACGCGCCGCACCCCATGAATTCGGTGGTGCGTGACGACTACTACGACAGCGACAACCCAAGCATTGCTGCTCGAAGGACATGGCAGCTGCGAGAGGGGCGAGCTATGGCTAGCTTGTATCATCTTGAACTGACTAAGAGTGCTTTCTTCGAGGGGCAGGTACAAAAGGACTGTGGAAAGTGATGGAGTTAATGAAGGGCATCTTCCTGATCCTTCTTTGAGAGGCTCTATAAATGGCTTTCTTCTTGCATGAACATTAGAGCTGCCCTTGTAGAAGAGGTTCTCATTTCACCTATCCGGCCAGAACAGGCACTGTTTAACTCAAGACTCAAGACGGAAAGCTCTCCTCAGAATGGCACTGACCGAAAGGAGGAACATTACGTTCCTTTTTTGTCAAACTGACAAACTGATTACAGTGGTTTCAGAGATTAGATGGCACAGACCGAAACCGATGTCCGTTCATATAAACCACCGGACATCGGTTTCGGTCTGTGCCAGACAGGTCCTCTCAATCAACTGTTTATATAAATAGGGCCTGAGAGGAGTGATGAACATCCCGTGACATGTCTTTTTACGGCATGACCGACACATATTGTTACCTACTTACTATTTCACAGGATGACCGTGACTCATGCGGCCTAAGCCTCGTTTCCACTGAAATCGAAATAATTCAAACATTTGTAAAACACTCATTGAACAATAAGATGTTGCAAGTTGTAGGTATATGAGAACGCTATGGAGCCCACCCAGAACGATCATATCAAATCAAATGATGTTTCTTTACACAAAGAGAACACGAACTGCAAACTTCATGGCGTTCTTCGTTGTTCGCTGGTCACAGATTGTATATGTGTTTGCACCAAGCAGATCTTTGTGCCAAGCAGATAAGGAGCCCAAGGACTCTCCCCGCCCTGCTAACGCCGTTCACGCCGTTCACGCCGAAGGTGTGGAATGAGCTTCGTGAGGGCTGGGAGGTGTTTTGGTACGACCCTTGGGCCGCAGAGAGTGTTTGGGGTTATCGCGGAGTTTGGCACAGGAAACAAGTCCTGGACAACCTGCGTGCGCACCATGTTCATCCTGGTGGTTGATCAGCTGAATGTACCTTGCCACAAAGATCACATTTGGACTCTGCACCGTTTTCGTCCGGTTTCATAAGGGATTTACTGCCAAACCACGACATAAAGGTCAAACTGTCAAACATGGTTAAACCGGCTTCGGATCTATGTCTATGGTCATGCATAGAGGATCCAATATCCTGAATATATAGCATGTTGACGGAATATCTATGACATGACTGATGACTATGGCATCAAATCGAGTCAAAGAGCGAGAGTGATTGGGATGATGACTAGACAGGATGACTTGGCATGTCCCATATGCTCTCTACAGGACAAAGAAATACAGTAAGTAAGCATCCCAGAACCAACTTGTTCAGACCAACCTGAAACTGTCAGGCGATGGTCACGTCTTCCTGTCAGAACATGCGCCACGAAACATCCCCGGGCGCATGGGACAGTGCGACGGAGGCTGAAGTCTTACACACTTGGAATATTGTATATATATATATATATTAATTGGTTTTAGATGGTTTGAGTGGGACATAGAGGCTTCCCAAGCGGTCAGCTGGTCGTTCCACCAAGTGACAGCGACTGAGGAGAATCAGAAGCTCACAGCGAGGCCATTCCCGGTGAAGAAGTACGGCTTAGAGCGAGCCAAAGTCGAAGTCCTTCGGCCAAAAGAAGCCGGGGCCAGGTACAAGGAAAATGAGAGGCAGGAGTAGATCCTTCAGGCAGCCCTAACCGATGCGCAACTCACAGACAAAGCGCACAGTTGGTAGCTAAGCAGGAGTGTGGCGGCAGTTTACCCTTCGTAGATCTTTCATGATCCTTCCAAAGTTCACCAAGATGCAGACTGGCTGACGAGCCAATCTGGAAGAACAGACCCGAAAGAGATGGCCAGGCAAAGTACCAAACTCGGCCTTTTTTGCGATGTGGGGATGACTTATTATGGGTGTGTATCACAATAGGGAAACCTTCCGAAGACCCCCTGGAAGAGGGAAAATAGACCAAAACCCATTGATGTCAGTCGCACGCTCCCTCAAGCCAGCCCCTTTCCGTGTATTACGTGGAAAATCGATCAAAGCCCATTGGTTGGGGGACTCCCTATTGAAAGACACACCCTCTACATCTTCTCCGTGCCCAGAAGTCCGTCTCCGTTCCCAAAAAGTCTGTAGAAGCTCTACAAACAGAGGGATGTTCAGATCAGAAGCTCTACACCGCCCACGTCTGATGTGTTTGCATTCAGGTCTTTCGGTCGTCCGGGCGGTGGCCTGAGGCCTTCCAATTCTTCCAAGAGCTGGAAGAAGCAGGGCGACTAGGTGCGGAGTCCCCAGGGATTTCTTGGGCCCAGGGTTTGGCTCCATCCTCCAAACAGGCTCCAGTAGCAACGTCTCCTTGCAAGCAAATTGGAAGACCTTATTCTAGCAGTGATCTAGTGGGCAAAGGGCTTTTAAGGGGTCCCAAAAAGTGCTCAAGAAGTCCTTCAGTCACTCAAGATCTGGAGCTCTTGCTGTCGCCCGGGTCGACAAGAGGTTGGGTGGGTTTGGTGAAGAAGGGTGGGTTGAAGTGGGTTCGTGCAACGAAGATGCTCCCCAGCCGATAAGAGGTAAGCTATGGTAAGCCTGGTAAGCCTTCAATACGTGACGGTGTGTCAGTGTTCCTGACAATTGAAGAAGATCATCTTTGAATCTGTTGACAGTCTGCACCTCCCCACTCGTGTGGCAGATAGAATGTTGTATTTCATTTCTTCGACGTTTCACTCAACCGGTCAACACTTGGTCACCTTCTCCCGTCAGAGTCGACGTCACGACTAGCCGCAGCGGTCACTCGAGAGGGTCCGAATCGGTCGGCCCGAGAAGGTGGATCGAAGGATCAGAGGGCGCATGAGAAATGAATGAGGCAATGAGAAAGTCATGATGTCCCAGGGCTCTAGCCTGGTCAAATCAACTTGGAAGGGTGTCTAACATGCTCTGACTATTTATAGCTACTCTATGATGAACCGCTATTCCAGTGGTTCTGTGACCAACATCAATGAACCCCTTGCGTTCGACCATGGTGGAGGCGTTGGCGTGTCACTCTCCGATGGTTCGCACCTCTCGTTGTGAACTCCAAGGCCAACGCCCTAAGATTGAAGCGCCACAGGAGGGAGCCGCTTGGTCAGCAGGCCAGGAGAAGGTCAGACATGGCAAGACCAAAGATCACGACATATCACGACTAGTGGCAGGGGTTGAGTTAGTCCTCGTCAATTGTCTTGCGCATGTTCCAAACTTTGTTCACTGTGAAGAAAAAGTCACAAGGATTCTATCGGGTGAGATGATGGTCCACGAGTCAACCACTGTTGAAGAAGCATCAAGCATGAAGCGTCACAAGCATGAGACTCCTTGACAAAGCAAAGGAACAACGATGTCTAAGCTTTGCAGGTTCGAACCATTCATCCGACCAAGAAGACATCAAAACACCGCCCACGTCACTTGCTTCACCAGTTGGGACCTGTGTCAGTGGACTCCGCCCTGGAGGGCGTTTGTGCGCCTGGAAGGGCAACATAGGGAACTTCAGTGGGGAACTTCTTCATTCTAGAAGGGAAGATGATGTGTGTAAAGCAAGACGCAAAAAAGTCAAGAAATACGCTATTATACAGTCACTCCTCACATGGAAATGTTGCTAGAGCCTACCAAGCAGAACTTGCTTGTGTCACTGCACTAGAACGACACCACAACACCATGTTTACATAAAACACTGCAAAACGAACATAGCGACAGTCGTGGTATATCATAGCGACAGTCGTGGTGTTGTTTTTTTCGCGACGAGAACCTCAACGGATCGGAAGCGACAGTCGTGGTGTGCACAATGCGTTGGTCTTTCTTTCTCGGGTGGTTTGTGAAAGTTGTGGTTGCTCGGTCTCAACTTGAATGATACGAGCTGCAGTTTGTTTCTTTTTCCGCAGCTGTGCGTGGCGATTTTGAAAGCCTCGAGGATACTGCACTCAAACAATTGAACTGTGGGCTTGTGCCTGGAGCCTTGAACCTATTCTGGCTGCTCTAGATTCTAGATGAAGCAAATGCCTCTTGTTCCCACGGTTGGGGATAAAACTTATTTGATGTTCGCCTGTTGGAAATCGAGGGTTGCCTTTCTTAGATCCATTATGATACATCCCTTACAGCCATATCCTCCGGGATGGCTTGGGAAACGAAAGACTTGTTCGTGGGGATTCCAGATCCATGTTTGCAGAGACAGTGACCCAGCTTCTTGCGCCTTGTCATGTTTGATTTGTGGCTCCCTAAACCTGGTGACCGCCGCACATGATCGGACATGTACCTCCCGGTAACGCAGTAAAGCTTAGGAGCTTAGAATATCAAATGTGTCCGATTGAATTGCATCGAACAACACTCATAAACCTTGATAAACCTTGGATAAGCCATGCACCCTCAAAAAGATAGCTTTTCGGAGCCTGTCGTTGTTACTCGCGGATCAACCAACTTTTCACGTCCTACTCCTCCAACACAACTAGAGGACTCCCCATTGCGCTGAGGTTTTCTTTGATCAACGCATGCAATGCTGGGCAGGGCGGCTCATTGCTGGAGAGTTGGTTTGAGCTATCGGAAAACACCAAGGAGAGGAGCAGAAAAACATGGAACATCTATGAACATCTGAAGAATGGAGCTTCAGAAGGGGCTTTGGACAGGAAAGAACGCCTTCAACAGGCTCCCTTCCAGGTTTTCTTGTCCTTTTATTGCGGCCATCGCTATCGGCTCTCCATCGCCCGTTTCGACGGAACGAAGGCACCGAACGAGAGTTTCCCGAGGTGAGCCTCTTCTGGCGGGACGGGCGGCCACAAAGCCGCTGCTTCTCTGCCACGAAGTATGGCTTCGAGGGATCCAAGATGTTGGCGATGGCCAAGCAGCACCTCGGACGGGCGATGGTTTGTGTATGAAGAGATGGAGAAGGAGATTCGCTGGGAGAAGGTGTTTGGTTTCCTCAGGGATTCGGAGATTCAGTGGAATCTGGATCGTTTGGGTGATTTTTCGGATTCCGTTTTGGAGCGAAGCATCCCGTTTGTGGCGGAAGCGCTGCATGTGATGTGGTCAAGCTTTTTTGAAGATGTAGAAGGTTTTTGGCGGTGATGGTGATGGCAAAAACAAACTTGATGGGTTTTGGCGGCAGAAAGGATTGTGTGCCTAGAGGCTGTTTAGAATGTGAATGACTTTAAGATGCGTTCATTGCGACTGGTACATGGAGGAACTACCGACACACTTCAAGGTTCCCCATAGTTTCAAGATGTTTAAAGCTCGTAAAGCTGCTGTATAACGAATCAAGATTGATTCCAAGATCAGTCTGGGACCTTTCAGCTGGGATTGGTCTTGCCCTATTCAGTTTTTCTGCTCCAAGTGCAGCTAATATGGGAGCTTGTGCAGTGGATCCACTTCTAGCATCGTTTTCCTTCGACCCCTGCTTCATCACACCCCGCATAGGGTTCCCCAGCTCCTTCAGCTTTTGACTTAGGCGTGACCCCGTGAACGGCGTCTTGGCAGTGCAGGGTGGAGCAGGAACCCCGATCATCCTGAAGGACCTGGAGCCGGTAAGCATTGACTGGAGCTTGAATTCCAGATGAACATGGCATGATGAACATGCACATGGTCGTTCGAAATTCCTCACATATCCTGCCAGATCTGTGTGAGGGATTTAAGATTGATTCGGAGCAGGAAAGACGCCATTCACCCAAGTGAGCCCATCACCCCCGCTGAGAGCCCTTGCCAGGAGAAGGGGAAGCCATCCTACGTGAACAGGAGCGGAAGCTTGGGGGGAGCGGAAGCTTGGGAAATGGCAAGATGGCCGAACCCTTTGCCTGCCCCAGCTTGCGAAGATGGCGAAGTCTAGGCTACGGTACTGCTACCACACCCACATCACAAACGGGGTACCATCAAGAGGGGTGTTGGCCGTGGAAACAGAGATGGTGGGCCCAGATGGACTGTTTCCTCTCACGTCGACGTCCTGCTTTTTCGGGGGCACAGCCGATTCCAGCGCCTTGCACAGGGCCACAGGGGACCTGACTGGATAACATTGGCGACCAGTCATGTTGTCTCACATTTTGCAAATTGCCGAAAAGAGAGGCCTACCACTACTTGGTGAGTCCAATACAGTGCTCCGGTCAATGTGGTTTTCATCCATCTATGTTTTTGCTTTTTTGGGGGAGCAAGGACGCTACTAGGGGCTCCTGGCCGTACTACTAGGGGCAAGGACGCTACTAGGGGAATGATTGGATGTGATTGGGGCATTTGGAACGACATCCAACACGTCCGGAAGGATGAACAGCGGAATGAGAGGGCCCACTGGATTGAAATACAAATGACATGGAACGATCTCTTTGATGAAAAACATACTAATGAATATATATTGATAATGTTGTTTTAATTTTAGGTTTATATACACATTATATTTATATGTATTTAAGTAATTATATATATATATTAATATTTATTATACATTAATAAAAATTAAAATCTATAGAATATATAATATGATATATTAATTACGTTGAAAAATATACATAGAAAGAATAATTTATATATGTGATGAATTTATTTTAATATGTTAATTGTGTTATAACGAAATATGTTAAATATGACGAAATGTTTTTATTGTTAATTATCTAAATTTTAGATATTTCGGATTGGATATTTCGATTTTATAGTTATTAATTTTGAATATTAATTGCGAATTCCGATTGGTAATAATTAAATTGTATTTGATGATGTGTATTCGTTATATTCTATTTATGAATTCGATTTGATGGAGAGAATTATGAATTTTTATTGATAATATATAGTTATTTATTAATTATTAATAT